ATTGTATATATATTGTATATTTGCAAATCTGGGTAGTCAGTTGTTTGAAAGAAGTAAAAACTAATAGGCTTACATAATTACTGTTTTTTTTGACCACGTGAATCGCGAAAAGCTTGACATTTTAGTCTAAACCATAAAAAATCTAAGCTTGGCCCATATACATATATATATTAAAAGATCTGAATCTGCTATCATAAAATCTTTTTCCGCGGAAATACATTTTTGTCCTCACTTTTATATAATTTTATTTGTCAAACCATGTTTAACGAATTGTAAAAATTCAATTGCACATCTGACCGGGACCACACAAAACCGACCTTGCCATTTTCCAAAACGCCATTTGTTGTTGCCACCCCAACATGTTGTGGTTGTAGCTGCTGCTGCTCTTGCTGTGATAAATTTACTGCATTTGCTGACGGCGTTGTAAATACATTTGCTTGATAACTGTTCAAGTTTGCAGCAGATTGCTTTTGTTGGTGCTGTTGCTGTTCTGGAATAATTTCAATTGGTGCCGGAATGAATTTTTCATGTTGTTGTGTGAACTGTTGTTGTTGCCCCGCCAACGTCCGATTTTCCACAGATATCTGCAAGTGAAGAAAATTTAATTTGCACAAATGAATAAATATATATGTATATATCAGTTGTAAATAAAAATCTATTTGGAATATACATTCACCGACAATTGACAGTCCTACAACGTTAATTGCATGTTTAACGGCACAAATCACCGCAACAAGCATTTAATTTCGCTTAACATTTACGATCCGTACACCCACCTGTGACACGGAGCCATCTTCGGTAAACACTGGATGCCCTATGAGGCGGGTCACCTCACGTTCCACCAGCAAAACCAACACCGCTCCACATGCTTTCAGCACTTGCACAGCCTGATAATGATCGGCGTCGACCACAAAAATACCATTCACTTTTAGTACTTTATCGCCAACTTTCAAACCAGCCAAATCCGCTGGCCCACCTTCCGTCACACGTGATATGAAAATTCCCTCATCGTCGCCTTTGAAGGGAGTTGAGCCCCTGCCGCCTGCTATGCTCAAGCCAAGACCGGCGGTGGTGCGTTCGATATGAATTTCGTACTGTTCGAGACGCAGCTCAGTCAGGCCATCAACCGCATCTGAAAAAAAAAATATAAAAATAAAAATAAAAATATTATTTAACAAACAAATTTTTTTACTGAATACAAATCTTTAAGAAACACAGAACGCCGCATTAGACGTATGAAATACGACATTTGTAAGTTCTAGAGACTGAATTTTAAGACATAAATGAAATCTTATAGCATCCCATTTTACCACTTGGCCTATACCTACGGTGACCATATTTTTGAAGTGTAGATAAAGGACAAACATTCATATGTAATTTTTATAATTTTAATAGTCAGTAAAACGTATCACTATATATGAAAGAAAAGTGTGTGTCTGTCGTGTTTGAACATTTATGTCGTGAAACAATTTTGGGTGTAAAAGCTTTTTTAGCCTCCCGTTACAAACATCTAAATAACGTTTTTTCCGTTAGAGTATAAATCAAACCGGTTTAAGGCCAAAACCTTTTGAGAGCCAATTATAGTCCTGAACGACATAAAGATTTAAAAAATAGGACATTAAATAAGAAAGGTATAAGAAATACAAAAAAAAATCGTAGTAGAAAAAATTACAAATTTCGAGGTACATATTGTACCGATGTACTGATCTTTTCTTAGTTCAAAAAGGTACCTCTGTAATTAGTCGAACTGGTAAAGTTTGTATATGGGTGTTTCCATCGAAAGGTCTACCGCGACAAAAAAATAAATAAAAGTCATATATCTAGCATATTTATAGACCAATTTGTCTGCTTTTTTAAATATATATTAACTAGGTAAATAGAAAATTTTGTGCGGAAAATTGTCTTGCTAGGTGGCGCCAAGGTCGAGAAATTTTGAAAAACCGTATTTATGGCCCGATTTTGTTCAAATATGGCGTATGTAGTTAAAACATAATAAATCATAGATTTACAAAAAAATTTACTCTGAATTGGCGCTGAAGTCAAAATATAAAGTATATTCGACATAAAACGTTTGGTTTATTTGCTTTGAAAATTCTTTTAAAAGCAATATTAACAAAAATATAACGATGGAAATTAACGTGGCGTCACGTGAGGATTCACACTTGGGGTTGTAAAAGAAAACTTAAACAGGTTGCATTAATTCAAAAAACTCTAAAAACAACCACAATCACTCCAAATCATATATTAAAAATAAAATAAAAAAGAGCCATCCACAGTTCGCCGAGTTTTGCGATTTTGTAAGAAAAAAAAATCAACTTCAATTCTTTGTCACGTAACGACACTGTCTTTAATTGCTTATATTTAAGGACCATGCGGTTCGACTGTTTTCATCTTTCGACCAACTATAGAGATAATTATGTGCTATACAAGGATCAAAAAAAGGAACAGAAAACAAATGTTTTTTCTTGTTTGTTTCTCATTGAAACGTACGACTGTCACGTGTGTGACGTATGGAAATACCCATATATCAAAAAGAGGACATTTAAAGGACAGGCCTTAAAATAAAGGACGGGCCTTAAAGTAAAGGAAAAAACATGGTTTTAGAAAAATAAATAAAGTCAAAGGACATCACCCTAGAAAAAAGTACTGTTCTTTGAAATAAAGTAAGGATGGTCACCATACCTGTACTCATAATGATCTCAATATAATTTTTCGTTTGGTCTACACTTCGCTACTTTGCTTTTCATTCGATATTACCTACATACATATATAAGTTCATGCTTTAGGGCAGAAGATGCACGCCGCGCTGTTAACAATGCAAGTCACGATTTGGTTTTACCAAGAAAAAGATGCTTTACCCACTAAATCTAGGACACTTGTGCATATTTAGTTATGACTTCACCCGCTGACAGGTAACACTTACTCTGCAAGCCATCATCATTAACGGTATCACATACATACATATGTGCACTTATTGCCACAAATTTCATTCTTACCATATTGTCTATTGCCCTTCAAACCTCCAGTGTATGTCGTTACAATTCGAACACGTTTGTCCTTGTGCTTTAGCGAATTATTTGGGCTGCGGTTCGAGGACACTAGTGAACTGCGTAAACTCATATTCGCTGGGCTGTTGCGGCCGCTGGTGCTTCCCAGCGAGCCTGAACGCCTTGAACGGGGAAATGTGTTATCGCCCTCCTTAATTTTTAACTTAATATTGAACATTTCAAAGTTTTCTGTTAAGTGTTCGTATGGATGTAAGTGGTAAATTTGCTTATGCGTTACACGTATTCGACATCAACAATATTTCCAATATCTTTGTATTTATTTATGCATTTAACAGATTTTCTTTAAACGGTTACAAAGACCCGCCTTTCTAATGCATCATCGTTCTGTAAAGGGCTTTTATCAATTTTATTATTTTGTGCAATTTCATCAAATCGTCCTCGGCAATAGAGGAAACATTTGCAACCAAAGTGGGAAGCTGAAGGAAAGTATGCGTTAGCTATTTCGTAAAATAACAAGCACAAGAGTAAAATTTCAGAAACAGAAATGCAGTGGAAGTGCTCAAGCAAAGGCGGAAGCAGCAACAGATGGACGCGGGCCAAAGGTGTACATGCATGCATACATACATATTAGCGTGGGCCGAAAATCCGCATTTTTAGAATTTTGATTGGTAATAGCAAAAATACCATACTATGCTCTAAAAATAATATGTGTGACATATGAAAATTTTTGGTCAATATCTTAGGCTCGCCCAAGTCCTTCAAAGCTCAATATGGCTAAAAAATAAAAATTAATAAATAAATTAAGTAATACATTTTTTTACTAAAATTGCAATAATCTTCTAAAGTATTAGTCCTACATAATTAGGTATATGGACCTTTTTTGTAGAGAATCGATGTTAGCTAAGAAAACTTTTTTTTTAGTACTTGAACTTTGATGGACTTGGGCGAGCCTAGGATATTGACCAAAAACTTTCACATTTCACACAGATATTTTTTAGAGCATAATAAACCATATTTTTGCTATTACCAATCAAAATTCTAAAAAAGCGGATTTTCGGCCCATGCTAATACATATCAACGACCAAGAAAGAAGTAAAAGTTGCAGGCACTTTACAAAATACTTATTTGCTTATTGGATTTTAATGCGTTCGACTGCACCGATAACAGCCTTTGAAAGTGACTACACAATTCTTCGCTTAAATCGCGGGGATAAAAGAGAAAACTAGTACTACCGCTTGTGTAATAAATCTCTTCCTGGCTACTGCATGCAATTGAATTTGTGATATGGCGAACTTAAATTTTAGTTGCAAAGCATTCATTTTAAAAGTTAATTTACAGCAATTCAAGAAATATGGGCTTTATAAGTAAAATATCCAGGGCTTATATCACAGGCGACAACAACCAACAATTTTTAAAACACAAGAAAAAATCAATATATTCACAAAACTAGGAGCCAAAATAGTATAACTGAGTTTTTAATTTTTTCGCTGACGTCAGGGTTTTTTTACAGGACTTTGAAATTTCTAGGATATGATTGAATAAAAAAAATTGTTTAAAAGATTTGGTGCATTGTAGAGTAACAATATGGGTATCAATTAAAAGAAAAAATTTTGTAGAATTGAAAAACAATTTAATCTTTTGGTGCACCAGGACGAATATGTGTTGAAAATGTCCTTTTAAAACTTTAATATCGTTGGAAAATTCCAATATTTATTTCAAAAAAAAAATATTTGTCAAGGACTAATATGTAAACTACCACATCCTCGAATTTCGTCCTTCTAACTTTATTAGTTTTAGATAAAAAAAAAATTTACACTTCTCTTTATAAGATATTGATAGTTACAATATATTTACATAAATGAAGATACTGGAATCATTACACTGCACAGCACTCGGCTGGGTATTGGACCAAACCAATTTTTTTTAAGAGATTGAGTCATAGGTAAAAGAGAAATTTCTCCGTTTTTCGATGTTTGCCTCCGAAATCGAGATATGGGTAAAAACTTATTATTTTTTATTATATGTAAATAACTAAAAGGGTGTATAACTTTTTTTGTGCAAACTTATGTATATAACAGATTAGCATGGGCCGAAAATCCGCTTTTTTAGAACTTTGATTGGTAACAGGAAAAATATTGTTCACTATGCTCTAAAAACAATCTGTGTGAAAGATGACAGTTTTTGATCAATATCTTAGGCTCGCCCAAGTCCATCGATCATCCCCTATTGTGAATTTCATTGCATTGCAAAATATTTTAATGTTTTATCGGTAGTTGAGGTTTTTGCTGCTCCCGAGGGGGTTAATACCTAGTTTTATTCAAATTAATGTAAACAGTTGTTTCATGTTTCATTCACTTAATGGTTTGCAGGGTAAAATTTCTAGAATACCTCCAATGTCTTTCAAAATTTAACATAAGAGAGATGAACAGGGTTGGCTTTCCATTACATCGGTTTTTGGGTGTTTACACAAAACTATAACGAATTTCGTCATGAAATTTGGCAGGGATGTTAAGAATCGTATATATTTACATTATTTATCACTCTTTTCACTTTATTAGTAATAGTATTTAACTAATTTGTTGGTAAATTCTTTGCAGTTTCACTAGCAAAGTTTCATAGAAAAAAGAGCACTTGATACTTATATTTTTATAAACATACGATCTTTGCAATGTTCACGTGTATTTTGTGTACATTAAATGAATTTTATTTTTTTTTTTTTAACAACATAAAACGCGTTTAATAATTTCACTACTCTTCTCCGACAAAGTAAACAAGCAAACAAATCAAAATGGCTGTGATGGTGAATATAAAGGGTGCTACCACATGTTCGAAAATTCAACAAACTAAAACGAAGGGATTTTCAACAATCCACCTTTGTTTCGCAATGATCTCGACGACAACAGTCGGGAATAAATGAGTATAATGTGTTTTTAAAATATGTTCAACAAAGAGCTCTGCATAAAAATTTTGCGGAAAGCCTAACCGATATCGGAGTGAGGATATTTATTTCTTTTTTCTCGGGGGTTTTTAATACACGCAGAAAGGTGTTCTCTGCAAAAGGTGTTCAGCCCCTTTTATTCGCAAAACAGAAAGAGAATTCTACTATGTGAGAGTTATAATCCCT